TCTTAAGTTTCTCTCTGGCTAAATGGGAAGGATGCATTGGCTTGGCACTTATGCTGCTGATTGCAATACAGAAATCCAGTGGTTATCTTAAGAAAAAAAAAAACCCTTGTGTTATTTGCCTATGTGCCAAACTAACCACTTTTTTTTATGGAACAGTTTTTACTTGAAACAATAACTAATGAACAATCTATGATTCTTCGTTTGGGGCTATTTGGTAGACATTATACAGAAAATGAATGAAGTGAGCCTTTCCTTTCAAGCAAAACTACAGATATTAGTATTTGTTGCCAGTGATACAATTTGAGCTTGCATATGAAAACTGAAGTTTTGGAAAATCTATATCGCCACTGTAAACTTGAAAGTTTCCCAATACTTAAAAGACTTTTCTGATGAGATCAGTGGTGAAAATAGTGAATGCAATGTTTTATATTATATAATGAAATGCATCAACCTTTGGAAGATATGCCAAACTCAGTAAACCAGTATTTTTCCAAATGACTAATGCTTAATATTTCAAAGTCATGCATAGGCAAAAGATTTAATCAAAGTGCAAGACAGACCAGCGGATTTTAATGTAATAGGATACAAAGTTAATTAAAGTCACATATCACAACTAACCTTTGAGAAACTACTACTTGGTGAGTTTTGGTGTAGTATCCAAGAAGAATATTCACAATTATCAAGGCAATTCTGAAAATAGTCCTCCCTTTTCTAACTTCATATCTTTATGAGGCCAGATTTAACAGATCAAATACAGAAACGTATGAGAATCTAGATGTCATCTATTAAGCAGTTACTAAAAAAAAATGCAAAAATATACAGGAATGCAAGTCTTCTCACTAAATTTTTTTGTTTTGGAAAATGTGATTTTTTATGAAAATATACATTGTAAAAATTGCCTATTTTAACTTCCAATATGGCCAATATCAATAGATATAAACCAGATGACAAAAACGCTGGGATCTTTGATAATTTTCAAGAGAGTAAAGGGGTCCTAAAACCAAAAGATTTGAGAATTGCTGATCTATTTTGTGTTTGCAGAGTATTTATAATATTTATATAACTAAATTAAACATTATTAACAATAAGGACCACATAACTCTAATGATGAATGAGATATAGGAAAAAGGAGTGGGAAAATATGTACATAGGTCGTTTAGGTTTTTGGGTATTTTTTGTTTTTTGTTTTTTTTTGATGGGAGGAGCTGGCAGTATAGCAAGTGAGGGTCTAGATGTAGAAACAGGGAGGGCATATGTGGCCTTGAGCAATTTAGTCTCCTATCTGTGCTTCAGTTTCCTCATTGTTAAAGTGGCAATGATTCCAGTACTTACAGCATTATTTGGAGGATTACATGAGTAAATCGCTAAAAAGAGTATAGAATAGGCTTGGTGCTTAGAGTAAGTGCCCTGTCTGGGTCAGCTATTTTTGTTTAATAATAAACAATGAATTTGTGTCAGCAGGGATAAGGTCAGACCCACAGTTATGGCTTACAGGTGCTGACCCTGTCCCCTCAATGGGATGACTGAAAGCAGGAAAATCCAGTCACTAGCCCCCAGAGACAAAATATCATGAAGCCGAGAAAGAACTTAGAATCTCCTAACCCCCTTCCTGCCCTAATATCACACTTTCTAATCCAGAATCACATCTGTTACCCCTGTGAGGTACATGGATGTGCTCCAAGGTTTCAGAGCAAATGATGTGAGGTTGGCTTGGTTTCATACGTCAGTTCCAGAGTAGTTATAATTTTTCTTGTTCCTGCACTGTGATTAATTTTCCCTTCAGCTCAGTTTGGCTGCCAGCAATCATTTGGAATTACGTTGATTTCAGCAAAGACCCACACAACGACCTTCACCTTTTAAAAGACACATGCTTTAAAGAAGGGGCTTGCAAATTTTTATAGTGAGAAAGATTCTTAATGAAACCGTGGGGACATTTATTGCATAAGCAAATGAAATATTTGTGAAATGGTTTTAAAAATTCTAATGAAAAATCTACTTCTGAAAGTAAGGAAGTTACCTCAAATTTTAAATTATATCTTAGTAGGATGAACAGTATATAAAATTCAGTTCCTGTATCTTCCTACCACCCTATATCAAGCAGGATAAATTTACGGTAATTGTTTTCTAAGGTTGCTGAGAATGTTGAGTTGAGAGTCTGAAACCTTGCCAAATTCGAATGTCAGCTTCTCTCTGAGATGTGTCCTAAGTACACCATTTACCATTGGCTCCCCATTCTTCATTTTCCTTGAGGCACATTTCTCCATCTAACACACTATATATTTTACATAGGTATTTTGTTTAGTGTCTTTCTGCCTCAATATTGTGGCAGGAATTTTTGTACTTTTTCTTCAGTGATACGTTCCTGACTTCTAGAACGGGGTCTGGCCTATGGTAGGGACCCCCCACATCCAGCTTTTACCTTTAAATCGGGAATAAAAAATGTCCCTTGATTCATTGCATATCATGAATTCATACATGGAGCCTTTGAAGTAATAAATGAGTCTATGTTGCAAAAAAAAAACCTGTTGGATCCAAGAGCATTTAAGTATTGTTCTGCAACCTGGCAATTGTATGAGCCAAAATATGAAACAGGGGCTCCAGGAACATATTCCAGGGGTCTTTCATTTTCATTCATCTAACATTATTCTTTGATGAATAGATGTCTTTAGCTTCAACCAGCTGTCCAGCTCATGAAAGCACAAACCTCTGTCTCACATACCCATACAGGACGCTGTGCCTTAGTGGGGTTTAAAAAATAAATAAGGGATTGATGGCAGAAGTACCCCATTTTCCCCAAGTGATGTGTTCCAGTGCAATTGTACATGGAATATTTGAAAATCAAGTACCAAAAATGAGGGAACTTCACTACTTAAATTTGTTCTGTACTAAATATTTGTTGTAAAGCACAGAATTCCTTTGTAACAACATGCTTTATAAGGTCATATTTTCATATCTAAGATTTTCTTAAATCAGTAAATTGAGACACACACACACTGGGTGTAGAATCCACAAGCTCAATTTTGGGCCAGGATGATGATTGATGAATAAGAAGTAGCTCCTTTAGAAGACTTGACTGGCACATGTAACCGTTAGGAAATTATAAATAAAAGGTGGGGGGGATTGTGTGTTCTTTAAAAGCAAGGGCATCCTTTCATTCACCTTTGTTATCTGGAGTCTCGTAAAAGCATATTATAGGCATGCCATACCTATTTGGTGATTAAATAAAATCATGAGTAAGCAAATGATCAAATGCAATTAAGTACTAAAAAGATTTTTGGCTAGACATGGTGGTTCACGCCTGTAATCCTAGCATTTTGGGAGGCCGAGGCAGGAGGATTACTTGAGCCCAGGAGTTCGATACCAGCCTGGGCAACATAGTGAGATCCTGAAATTAAAAAATAGCCAAGTGTGGTGGCACACGCCTGTGGTGCACCTACATAGGAGACTGAGGCAGCAGTATAGCTTGAGCCCAGGAGGTCAAGGCTGCAGTGAGCCATGATCACACCTCTGCACTACAGCCTGGTCAACAGAGTGAGACTCTGTCTCAAAAAGATACTAAAATAAAAGAAAATTTTAAGATTTTTAAAGAGTCTATAATGCAGTAAAAATTTACACAGAAGGAGTCACTGGAGACAGCCGCATGGAAGAGTTGCACCTTGTAGAAAATTAAGGCTTCAAATGCTAGAACAAAGGGTAAATAGGAATTCCTAACAAGGAGAGTAATCTAGATCTGTGCACCAATCGGTTAGAAGGACTGTGAGCAGCAACCTCCAATATATATTTATTTATATTTATACGTATGTTCCACTACATTAACAAGAAAAAAATTTAGACATACACAAAAATAAGATTTTAAAAGAAAAGTTAAAGATGAAATAAGTAATCTTTTAAATTGTTATTTATTAATGGTATATCATTATTTCTATTGGGCATAAATCTACATTTCCAATAACCTTTTCAATAATTTTGAATATTGAATTTTATGGCTAACTTCCAGTCATATCAGATTGGATCACATTGCCTCAAAATATGGCTAATGAGGAATTTTAATAGGTATAAGAGATGTGTCAGCTAAGCCATTTTCTTATTTGCTCATGCCTACATTATTCATATTGTCCTTAATCCTCTGTTCTTTGAAGGAACTTAAATGACTTGTGAAAGTTAGCTTGGTTAAAGCTAGATAATAGAATCTACTCAATCGGCCAAGCACATAAAAACTGTAATACACTGAAAGATGCTTAAAGTTAACAAGTCAGCGAGAAAACCTGTGGCAAGAAAATCAACCTAGCACACTAGTGGAATATGCAGCCATCACCCGACAGATGTGTTGAGTGTGCCAGGGTCAAGGCTCACTTTAAGACCATGGACCACACCTGCCCCATGCAGGTGGAGTTAGCAGTTCACATAGTTGTGAAAGGTGCATGTGTGGGGTCCGATCATTTATGATGGTTGAGATATTTTGACCTGGAAAGATAGGTTAATGAGAATATTTGCATATTAGTCTGTCCTGGAAATCAGGAACAAATTAAAAACCTCAAAGAAGCAGATTCAGAGGAACTATGAATGAAACCTATTATTCAACTTGAGCTAGCTCCCTGAGTGTCAACTCCCTATAGAATCTGCTGCTCATGGGACTCTGATTTTTTTTTTTTTTTTTCTGAGACTGTCTCCCTCTGTTTCCCAGGCTGGAGTGCAGCGGCACTATCTTGGCTCATTGCACCCTATGCCTCCTGGGTTCAAGCAATTCTCATGCCTCAGCCTCCCGAGTAGCTGGGATTATAGGCATGTGCCACCACGCCCAGCTAATTTTTTGTATTTTTAGTTGAGACGGGGTTTTGCCATGTTGACCAGGCTGGTTGCAAACTCCTGTTCTCGATCAGGAGTTCCAAGCCATCCACCCACCTCAGCCTTCCAAAGTGCTGGGATTACAGGTGTGAGCTACCGTGCCTGGATGATTTTCTTTTAAAAGATAAACCTATTTTCTTCATTGTTTTTGGCAGGAGAGAGCCAGGAGCTGCCTGACATACCTGGTGAGCCAACTGGCCAACATGGAGCATTCATTTCACCATATTCTCCTGCTGGAGATTAAAGGCATCACCGACACCTTCTCCTCAATCTTGGGCCCTCAGAGCAGAGACATCTTCCGCATGAGCAACAGCTTCACCGCCATTGCTAAACTCCTTACCCGACAACTGGAAAATGCAAAGGCTGGAAGTGGCAGGTGAGCAAGAGCTTCTGTGTACCTCAGGGAGCTGCTGTGCACCTGTGGAGGTAGAATGCAGACAGCTAAGCCTTTCTAACTGCCAAAGGAAGCTAAAACCTGTATCTCAACAGAGAATAATATCTGTACAAATTATGGCACTTGCCAGAATCTTTCTTCTAAATATGTGAAAACAAGAATGTAACAAAACAATAAAAAGGTTCATAAAATATGGTAAAGGAATAAGAACGTAGTACAAGGAATATTTTATAGCACCCGTTTATTTACTCAACAAATTTAACAATTTAAGTTGTCATACTGAATAATTTAACATAGCTTACTGCGTACCAGGAAGCTAGACACATATAGAGAGATAATAACATGTTCCTTGTATTCAAGAAGCTCACTGACTAGTATGAGATAAATATTTAAGTGCATAATGGGAGAATGGCAGAATGGCGGAAAGCTTATGCTTATCAACGTGAGTTCAAGAGGCATGGAAAATACAGAGATGGAGTATCTACTTCTGTATCAAAGGGAGAGGGGTGGAAATCTGATATCAGAAGAGGTTCCCCTGAAGAGGTGATATTTTGAACCAAGTAGCGAAAGATGACCAGATTTCACCAGGCTGTCTTTCGGGCAGCATTTGAAAAAGCACTTTCTGGAAACAGAAGTCATTTTGTATGACTAGGGTTATGTCACAAGGAAAATAACATTAGGAGTGCTAATGAAGTGGTAGGCAGGGACCAGAGGATGACAGGCTCAACAGAGTGGACTAAGGAGTTCAACTTTACCCTCTAAGCAGTGAGGAGTGATTGTGGAGCTTCGTACATGGCAGGGTACAATCAGTCCAGATTTCAGGAAGCCCATCCTGGCCCCAGTGCAGAGGATGTCTCAGGAAGAGGCAGATGAGCCAGATCAAATGAGGGAAGAGCAGAAAAGTGTGGATAGGTGTTGGCCATGAGGAAATTATTGACGATTGATGTGAGGAAGCTGCCATTGGTGTGGCTAGCAGAAAACAGGGTGATGGGGGTTGCAGAGAGAGAGGACACAATGCACAAACTGGCCTTTTAAAGAAGCTTGTCTTTGGAAAAAATATGCAAGGCCATGCAAGATTGAGGGAGGGGTTTTATTTGTTTTGCTATGTTTTGAATGGAGAGAAACTTAAAAAGCTTTATGACCTTTAGAAGTTACAAAAGCCCTTTAAGTATGTAATCTCATTTGATCTTCATGACCATTCTACAGGCAAGAAGGACAGATGTCACTTACTCCTACTTTATAGAAGAAGAAACAGAGGCTCAGATACTGGTTAAATATATTCCCAATGTTACACAATGACTAAGTGACAGAGGATGGACTCGACCGCATCTCCATAATTCAGATCACAGGCAATGGAAGGTGCACAGTTATGGAGGAGGGTGGGGCCATTTGCGACTAATGTCAAATTCTGTGGGGGTTTTTTGGAATAACAAATGATGCATGCCATTTCCAGTGTGAAACAAGAATTCCATGAGAGGTCATCTTGATAGAGTAGTGAGCATTTAGTCATTTGGGTCCACTTTATGTTCATCATGGTGTAGAGCCTGGAGGTCCTAAGAGACATAAGGTACTATCCTTACCATCAAGAGTCACAGTCAGAGGATGTGATGTGCATGGAGAAAAAGGAATGCACTCTCCAGCAGCCAGGGAGTCGAATATTTCACAGAGAAGGTAAAATTTAAGTTCATTTCCTATTTATTATCTTCCACGTGCCAAGCATTTCTCTAAACACTAGGTCAAGTTGCACAGAATGAATGAAAATTCCTCAGATAGGGTAGAAAGGACACCACAAACAAACAACCAAAAATAAATAGCACTGCCAAGATACAAGGGCTTAATAGTATGTGCTCAGACTAAGGAAAGACAATTTGTTCAGTAGGGCAAGAAAGTAAGTTGAAAAGTTAGGTCAGAGGCAGATTATCAGAGGCCTTACATGCTGTGTTAGAAGCAAGGGTTTGTTCTGTAAGCAACATGTAAACTTTGAAAGATTTTACTCCAGAGAATGATCACAGCTCTTAGCACAGGAATTAGCAGATAGTAAGCACTCAAATATTTTCACCAAATGAATAGGTAAATCAGGAGTAACTAACATCATAAAGCATTGAATTAATTTGACTGGAGCACCCAGCTGGCAAGAGACAAACTGAGAGGTCTAGACAAAATGATGAGAGCCTAAGAAGTCAGGGCAGATCATTATAGTAGAGAACACAAAATTACGAGGAACTGATCACCTATTGGAGGTGGAGTAAGAAGAGGGTAGTGGATGAACACCCAGAGATATGTAGCTTAAGTGATTGCACAGAAATGGAGATGATACTGATAACCAAGAAAGGAGGTTGCAGGAGGGAAGCCAACCTGGGACGGCCTCTTAGCCCCTGCACAGAGAACATAATCTGACCAATAGTGTCATCAAAGTCAATAACTATTCACAGAGGTAGAGTCATTGTAAATGTCCTTTTCTTTCAACACAATGGGTTTGATCGAGCATATAAAAATGTGTTGTCACCTCATTTGATATACAGATGCCTATTAGAAGAGTTTCTTAACCTTGGTATTGTTGATATTTGGGCTAGACTGAGTTGTAAGGCTGCCATATGCATTATGGAATATTCACCAGCAGTGCTGGCCGCTACCCACTAGATGATAGAAGAAGCACCCCCTTTCAATTGTGACAACCAAAAATGTCTCCAGGTTTTGCTAAATGTCCCTGAGGAAACAAAAACCTCCGCCACTTGAGAATCACTACTATATACATATACCATTCAAAAGTAGCATTTTCATAGACCCATAAGTTAACTGGCAATAACCTAAACACGTGGCAGCATCCAGGAGAATCAAGACCAGCATCATTAAAAAGATTTGCCATTTATATGCACCCACAAAGTCGCTGTTGGACAATTTTAATGCTGTGGTTTTAGAAATTTGGTTTACAGTCTCTGCAGCTGGTGTCTGAGGGAGCCATTCTGTGCTGTATGCACAGCTGAACTGTGTGTGTCTTCTCCAAGCCATGGCTGAGATGTGCCATGAGTGAAAGTTTGAGCCCATGTCCTGGCCAGTGCTCTCCTATTCTCTATTGTCCCTATGGACACAAGGTTTCAAGAGGCCAGTTGACATTTCTGAGATTATATATGTGAAAATCTTTACATAAAGAGAAAAAAATATTATATAAGGGTGTTACTTAGGCATCTTAACAGGAAAATCCATTTTTAATAAATAGACCTGTATTAGTCCATTTTCATACTGTTGTAAAGAACTGGCTGAGACTGGGTAATGTATAAAGTCAAGAGTTCGGCATGGCTGGGAAACCTCAGGAAACTTACAATCATGGAAGAAGGCAAAGGGGAAACAAGACACCATCTTCACAAGGCAGCAAGAGGTGCCAAGCAAAGCGGGAAGAGCCCCTTATAAAACCATCAGCTCTCATGAGAACTCACTCACTATCGCGAGAACAGCATGGGGGAAACTGCCCCCATGATTCAATTACCTCCACCTGGTCTCTCCCTTGACACATAGGGATTATGGGGATTACAATTCCAGATGAGATTTGCGTGGGGACACAAAGCCTAACCATGTCAAGCCCAACTCAATTAGCAATGAACAATTTCCACAAGAAAAGAATTTAGGAGATATGTAGATAGGAAGAAAAAATAAGGTCCTACTTGAAAATATGAGTCTGCATATATGAGAATGCATTTAAAATATTTTAAAACTATTTTTCTGAGGTTAGAGGGCAGGAGAGTAGGAAACAAAGAGAGAGCAAAATGAAATATAAAGAGATGAAAAGGTCACCACTCACCTCATACCACTACTGCCATCATCCCCCACCTCAACCTCTCTCAACTGAAAATACTTCTCTCAGTTCAACCCTCATTGTCAATCTTCTTCTAATTGACTGTAATTATTCAGGGGGAATCTCTAAACCCTCGTGTGGACAGCCAGTCTTTTGTCTGAATGGCTCATCCTCTCTGGGATGGTTGTTAAGGCTTCTCTCCCAACATCTTTTCCTTGAATACCCTTCATTGTGACCATTTAACTTCAGTCATTTTAATCTCTGCCCTCAAAGCAGAAAGGTCTACACTTTTGTCGAAAGCATGCAGCAAAATCTGATCCTTACAATTAAAGGGGAAATGAATAAGTGAAGAGAGCTTGAAAGAAAATTAAAGATGATAAAATTCAAAACAGATGTCATCTAATTTACAAAGCTGACACATAGCCCAGCAGGCCAGATTTTAGACTTCAGGCCAAAACTACAAGATTATCAAAAGAAAAACAATTAGCATCCTAGAGAGAATGAAAAACTGAAGCAGACAGGAGCCTTTCTTGTGCCAAATGACTGAATACATTGAGTGAGTTTTGTTAGAAGCACCAGGTGAGCCCACTTGCACTTTTCCTGCTCCTGTTTTAGAAAGAATGTTTATATGTAAATAATAAACCAATAGAGGCTAAATAACAGGACAGCCAAGCAAAGCATTTATATTTTTTAAATTAATTCTGCAGAAGCAAAAGTGTACAAGAGCTATTATGCATTGAAAAGGAGAAGGTGTCAGGTTGGAGAAGAGAGCTATACCTTTCAACACCGTGCAAGTCCTAGCTACCCCTAAACATCAAGCTGTTTGTCTGCCAGGGCCCAGTTGAAGCTGGAGAGGGAGAGGGTGAGCTCTGGGCACCTCTGTAACTGACTGAGCCGAGCAGTGGAGTGATCATTGCCTAGAAGATGCCTTTGCCAAATGAATGTGGCGCCAGGGAGGCTGCTATAATCAGGCACTATCAGAATGGGGGCAATTTGTCACAGGTGGTCTTAGTAGGCGGTTACGCTCAGGCCCCAGTTGGGGATGGAAACTTTGAGGGATGGAATTTGTGGAAAGAAAGCAGCAGTGGGAGATAAATTTGAGGAACGAAAAAAGATAGGGAGAGAGGATGATGATGGCAAAAAGCAGAAGGGGAGACCTGAGGAAAAAGGAGAAAGGGTCCTGACACAGGCC